ATCATCTGAATGAGTCTCGTTTAGTTATATACTATGTCTAATACATTTTTATTCCTATGCAGTTGTCGCAATAGTTCTATGTTTAAAAATACAGACATCTCCAACATAGACCAATAATTTTCTTAAATATTTATTTATACTATGTATTTAGGTATATCTGAAATATGTAATGATAAATCACACAATAATGAATATTTCTTAGCATACGATTAACCTGAGGCAATCTTGGCTAAGTCACCTGAAATGTAATTATTGAATCAAAGTGTATCAAAAACGGAAACATTTAGCATATATTTTGACTAAATTTATTTTGTGTTTAACGTAAATTTAAAATTAGATTTTTTGTATTTTGTGAAAAGTACATCAAATCTTTCTAATAAAATTGACTATCTTGATATTTGTAACTCAATTTATGATATCATTAAAAGGAATGACAAATTTTAGTGATAATGTATAGTTTGCATTAATTAACATAGACTTTTAATATGCACTTTACTGTGATTCAATTAGAATTGTTATTACATTTTTGCTAAATATTTACTTCTGAAAAACTACTATATGCCAAAATTTACCCCTTTACCCTTCTAATGTCTATATTTAAGAAAAGTTTAACTTTCATTTAGAGCAATTTTGTATCTTACTGTTACTGTGTCTCATAAAATACATTTTGTAATTAAGCAAAATTGCTTATATATGGCTCTCCAATTAATCTCTGTACATCTCACCAAATGGTTGAGTAGAACCATGCAAATGAGTACATGGAACATTAATAGGGGGTTTTGGTGAATTTTGCCAATTCCTCTCTGTATGAGATCCATCTCAGAAACAGGAGCAGAGAGAATTCTGGAGCCCTCAAGAAAAAATAGCCCCCAGGGGAGCACATGCAAAAGATCCCAGTCTATATGGTAGAAGCAGTAAAGGCACCAGAGCCCTTAGGAATGCAAACAAGAGCAGCACACAGTATACAAGCTTCCTGAGTCCCGCCCCTGCCCACCTTCCCAAAACAAAGCAAAAATCTGGGAACCATGTGCCTGAGAGGCAGATGAGCAGTGTGACAGGTAGCTGCCGAGTGTGAAATGGCATTACTGTAAACCAAAGATTGTTTCCTTAATATCATGGCTTATAGGAGTCTATTAACTTCCCTAATAAGACCTCATAATTGTGAGTATTATCTGTGAGTTCGCTATGAACACTACAGTGAATTTTCAAATCTTAGGCTTTTTGAGGAATGCTTGTGAATTAAAAAACAATACACACTAACAAACAAACAAAACCCCTAAAACTCACTGCCATTGAGTGAATTACAACTTATGGCAGCCCTGCAAGGGAAAAAAAAAAAACAAAAAACGACTACAATATTGTAAATCTCTACAGAATTAGATAGCCTCTTCTTTCATCTACAAAGTAGCTGCTGGTTTCAAACTGTTGACCTTGTGTTAGCAGCCCAATGTATAAACTACTATACCAACAGGGCTCCTTTTGATTGGTGGTAGAATGTGAAAGAAAGATGGCGGGTAGAAGTGAGTCTGATCGCTGCCTTGTGGCCATTGGATGGTATGCAGTTGGAGGCTCCTTCTTTGTGTAGCCAAAGAAGCAGATGTGACGCCATGCAATTTTCATCACATTCACTACCAATCATAATTTTTATCCCCAAACATTAATAGCATAATGTCATTTCTCCTGCTTTGCATTGATTGGACTATGATTTTTCCCCTTAATAAGTCCAAATTTCCGTTTCTTCTGTACCACATCTCTTCTGATCCATTTAAGACCTGCAAATATAGGTTACAGAATGTAGTAGTAAGCTTGATTTAGCACTTGAACTTAAGAGTATACAGCCAGAGCAAATGTAATTACTCTTTGATAAATTATTCAGGTAAAAAATTAGCTGATCAAACACTTCTTACACTTGTTAAAAATCTCTGTACAAGTAATGGTGCCACTGTTTTAGGGTCTCCAAATAGTAAAATAAAAATAAGAAGTGGTATTGAATATTTAAAATTTGATTTGGTCTAAGGCTATACCCCACTACCATTCTTTGCCTATATTCATGTAAGCATTTAAAGTGTTCCTTAGTTTTTCTATGAGAATGATAAATCTGAAAATAAGAACAATTTTGCTGAGGAAAGGAGTCTATGCAGCCCCTAAAAGAAGCTAAATATATGTTCAATAGTGCAGAAGCCACTATATCAGGTGATCCCTTCTTGTTTTCCATAGAAATTTTATTGTATATCAGTTGAAGCAAAATAACAAAATAACAGTTTTCTATAATACTGTACAGTGTTGGTGGTGGGGTAAAAGGGAGACCATGTCAAGGATTCCATGTAGAAAACAAATGTTTGGAAATGGATTGTAATAGCAATTGTATAATTCTGTTTGATGTGATTGAACAATGGAATGAGACATGCGTTAAATCCCAATTAATAAAAAAGAAAGAAAGAAAAGATTTAAGTGGATGTTACAAGAGACTCTGAAACTTGCTTTTAATCACTGGGTAGCTAAAGAAAACAGGAGAAATGATGAAGTCAAAGGACTCAAAAAAATTTCAATAGGTGGCTGGAGAAGAAAAATCAAATATGGTCATGAAATATTTAAAAACCTAGGGTTGAAACCAAAAAGAGAGAGCAAGCTTGGCATATCTTAAAAAGAAAGAGTTTTGAAAAATTCATGCTTCAGGTTGCAATATTTACGGATTCTATGTCAAAAATATTGAATGGCCTGGGATACTTCAAAAGAAACTGAAAAGAATACACAGAGTCACTATACCAAAAATAACTAGTACACATTTCAGCCTTGCAGGAGGTTGTATATGAGCAAAAACCAATGGTGATAAAGGAAGAAGTTCAAGC